AACGAAAATTCCCTGTGCGCGGGCAGATACACAAAATAAACACCTTCTCGGGCATTTCCGACCATGTGGGCAAAGCGGTTGCGTTGTCACGACGTGCCTGAGCAGCAGAGAAGCGGCAGCGAGCAGCTGAAGGCAAGCCGGGCCTGCAGCACTGCTTTTCCCAAGCCGCCTGCGGACAAGGGCATGCAGGGAACGTCTTGTCACCCGAGGTGAAAAGAGACGGTACGCAGGACTCGGAATGGGGACCTAGGGGCACTGACACTGGTCTGTGCTTGTGCAGCTGCAGACTAAAGCTGGAGCCGTGCTCAGTCACTGGGAAACATTCACAGCAGCACGGTACGCCTCCCCCACGGCTGCTTTCCGCTCCAGCCTCCCTTACTTCATCTCCTCTAAGCCCTCCGCGGCCACCTGGCCTCATCAGAAACGCACGGCACAGGGAGAACACGAGGACCACCTAGACTCCTCAGGCCTGTGCTCTGTCCCTGGGCCTTACTCCAGAACAATGACAAAAGCATCAAACGTGTCTGGATTTGTTTATTCTGTTAAAAGGCTTGGCTGTTCAACTGCAGGGAGAACGGCCCAGTACCAATTTCTCCAGTAATACATTGGGCAGACCAGAGACAGAACACAACACCCACCGAGGCTTCTCTCAGCACAAACAGTTTCTGCATCCCCCTAAGAGAGAAGGAAAGGTGGACACAATGGCCAGCCCCTGACAGGATTTGGAGAGAAGTCTAAAACAAGCAAATGCACTGGTGTCTTTTCTTCATCATTACGGAAGGAGTCACTGCACCTTCAGCTGGAATGAGAGTATTCCCTCATGCTCCCTTCTGCGTCCAGCTGACTGTGCGCATGCTGCCACACAGGTCTGCTTTTGCAGAGGGATGGGAAGACAAAGCTACCGTAGCGTTAAATCCAGTGACATTTCCTCTGTTATCAGACTTTTTGTCTCACCCCTCTCCTATGGCAAGTCTTGGTCACTGCTTCAGCAACCCAAGAAAACAAACCCTTAAAACTTACTTAAAAAAAAAAAAAGTGCAAACACGCCCGTTTTCCCCCGTGCAGACAGCCTGTAACATTTTTGTGCAGAAGTCAACCTGGTCACAATCTGAAGTTGGTGGGACTAGCCAACCTGTGAGGCTGCGACTGCTCCCCTGGTTTTCTGAATGTCAAGTCAGTGAAAAGCAAGGGGCACCTGCTGCGGGCTGCCAAGGCTCAGTTTCTCCCCGTGGGCCGGCAGGATGTATATAAACCACAGTGTCGAAACAAGTTATGCCACGGGGCAGTGCTGAAAGACAAATACCTGCCTCTGTCCTCTACTTTACTGTTTGAGCTGCAGCCTAGGCTCATCAGTCCTCATCTGAGCTATCCTCCGATTTTTCATCAGCAGCCACTTTCCAGTTCTTCCTCTTGTTCTTCTTCTCTGGTACTTCACTGTGCCTCTCTGACACAGAATTGTGATGTTTCTTTCTCTTTTTTGGGGGATGTTTCTCTTTTTTCTCCTCAGATTCACTGTCCTCAGAGCTGCTGGTGCTTGAGCTACTTGCATGAGAAAAGTCACTTTCCTGCCCAGAAGAAGAGGTAGGTTCCTTGGCAGGCACTTTCCTGGTCTTTTTCTTGCGCTTGTGTTTCCCTTTGCGGGTGCTTGAAGTCTCCTCTTCCGAGCACTCGCTCTCCTGGGAAGAATCTGATGATGTTCTCCCCTGCTCCTTTTTCTTTTTCTTTCGCTTTTTGTGCGATCGCTTTTTTTGCTTCTTCTTGTGCGATTTCTTTGTTTTCTTCCGTTTGTGCGACTCACGGGCAGTTTGCTTTCCCTGATGGGATTTCCTCTTCCCGTTGATAGCTTTTTGTTCATCTCCTTCTTGCTGGTCACTGTAAAAAGAACGAAGGATGACCAAAAGGAAGCAGACAGGCAGGCACACCGCAGGTGAGCCTTTTCGGTCTCAAAGTTTTAGGCAAGTCCATCAATTCTTTTGGCTAGAGCAGAGAAGCAGATGCTCTGACAGATGTGGCAGCTGCATTTTTGTTTCAAGTGCTTATAACAGTTTGGGTCCACACCATACTAATACTCCTGTTGGAGATAGTTGAGCCAGAACTAAGAAAAATGTGTACAGAAAGCCACTGAGTGAGAAAAACTCATTTATAGCAGGTTACTTCAAATCTGTAAGCCTGACAAACAGCGTACTTGATGATTCTGTTAGGTGTAGGTTAAAAAGAACTAATTCTGTCCAAGATCTTATTTTACAGTTAAGTCTCCACTCTCCAGGATACGGCAAGAATTTGTATTCTCCAAATAAGGAGAAGCACAGAAAATACACGTACACTAAAATGAAAAGAAGAACCTGGCGCTGATATTTGAGAGTGTGTATCCTGAGCTGATTTGGATTCAGCCTACCCTGGCTCGCTGTTGGCCCAGACAGACCTTCCAGATTCGTATCACTTTAGTAACTCAGGCTAAAGCTGAATGTCTAATTACTGTGAAAGGTGTGATTCCCTCCTAAGATTCAGTCCAGGAGGAACCATGTAATGGACTAGATTTTTTTGCAGTGGGTGTCTGTAACTAAACAGTGCTGCTTTACTTACCTATATTCAAAACTGAAAACCCTGTTTGTAAAGCTCCTAAAGTGCCTACGCTGACCAAAGTAAGATTCTGGATGCATTAGTAAGCCCACTTACCTGTCCGTATCAAATTCTTCAGGGTACAACTCTTTATAGCCACTGTGACCCCATCTGTAAGAAAGCAGAACCATCTATTAGAAACAGACAAGGTGTTTAAGGAAAAATAAAACCTCCACAATTCTGAAAAGACAGAGCCACAGAACGAACAGGAAGGTAGAAGGGATATCGGAACCTTCCCAACAAAGAAGGAAGAAATATAACTGATTTGGTTCATACAATTTAAATACTGTTTATGTTCTCAGCCTCTTTTCCATTTCTAGTTAGGGAAAACCACACATCAAATTTCTTTAAAAATAACCCCAGAGAGCACTAACTTGCATCTCCCAAAACTTCTTAAGTTCCTTGGGCAAAATACTAAGCTTAGGGCTGAGCTTTTGCTGCTTCCCGTGACACAGGAAGTCTGTAGATGAACTCAAGCTAGGTATTCTGTGACACTCCAAAAGTCTGTGCACGTTATTTATTCACTCTCAAAATGAGATCAAGCATTATTTTATAGGAGTACGTACTGGAAAGACAAAAGTACTAACGTTTTGGCACCAGACTCCAGAAAGGTGTACTAATGACAGTCATAATCACAGAACGTTAATTTCCCCACAGACCTGTCTGGCATGTTGGCTTCACATTCATACAGCTTTTTATTCCAGGACCGGGCCCTAAGGAGATCATCTTCGAGTGGGTCGAGAAATTGCGAGTTCTTTGTTTTCCAGTCCATCCTGTGGCCCTCTTCATCGAAGCCATCACTGCGCATCCGACTGCTGCAGAAAGAGAACAGTTGTCCTTCAGCTGTCTGCTCTGATGGATAAACTTTCTGAGTAAGGTGTTAGTCCAGGGAGAGGAGCAAAAATCCAGCAAGTCTTGGATGTCCATATCACAGAATCACTAAGATTGGAAAAGACTTGTAAGATCATCCAGTCCAGCCATCAACCCAACACTCCCATACCACTAGATCGTGTCCTCAGTTACCACGTCTACATGTTCCCTGAACACCTCC